GACCTGGCAATGCCTTTCTGGACTGGGCTGGCAAGAAATGCAACACTAGTGCAAACATTTACAAAAGTGGCCAGTAATCAGGGGCCTGCCCATTTCTTGGGCATCCCTCTTGAAAAACCTTGGACCTGATTTTCAGAGGAGCTCAGCACCCACATCTGCTTCAGCTGGATCTGTGGTTGCTCAGCACCTCTGAAAATCAGGTCCAAGGCGTCTCAGGCTGGGCACTGAAAATCAGTAGCCACTTCTGAAAGTGTGGATGCTTGTCCCTTATGTATACAGCCCCTCTTGCTCTTGTGGGTACAACTGTAGCCTTGGTTCAGTGCTGTAGCTGGCCTGCAACTCCCATTGACACCAGTTGGAGTCGGGGTGCTTGGTATTTCTGAAAAAACAGCCCAAGCTGTCTCAAGACAGGCACCGAAAATCAGCCACTGGTGGATGAAGCGAAGAGGTGGTGCTCGCCACTGGCACAGAGTGTCTTCACCAAATGCGCTGCGGCGTTGCACTTACAGCAGTACAGCTGCACTGCTAGTACTGTGTGTATCGACCTATCCCGAGTCACTGACCGTGGTTTACACTCCAAGTCTGCGTATTGACAGATCAGTGACCCAATTCAAGTGGGAGGGAATAATTGTCCTGTTTAGGTGGAGATCAGTGCAGCTGAATCTCCTTTCAGGGAACAAGGCAATTGTGAGAACTTTCAGAGGTGAGAATCCAAAGTAGAGAACTATGAAGTCAGGGAAGCTGCTAATCCCTGTAAGGACACTGCCCAGGTGTTTTACTTTGAATGAAGACTTTGCTTTTGTTTACACACAAGGGATTTACGTGTTTTATGTATGCAACACCTACTGCTGAAGATGTCTTTGTCAGCAGACAAAGGCCCCAACAGCAAAGCCATTCTGCATGGCCTTGAATGTATTCACCCTTTATTCCACTAGTATATACTCCTGCGGAATTTAAAGCTCTACTCCTAAATACAAAGACTGGTAATACTCATTCAGCCAGGCTTCCACATTTCAGTTACTATAATCCCAGAGAAAATAAAGGCCCTGGAGACACTAACACAGAAGGCCTCTAGCCTCAGAGCGCCTCAGAGCCAGTTCTGTATGGCACAGGGTGATGAATGTGCAGTTATTGGATCTTTTAACAAAGCAGAGTGAATAAAAGTGCACATATTTCTCTCTCATCAGAGCTGTATCCTTTGCTGTGACTTTTCACAGTTACATAAATATGGCCTATTTCCCCCCCCTGAATTAACATCTTGCTCTCTAAGTTTAGCTTTCACACACACATAAAACAAACTGTCTGATTTCTCACACACAGCTGGAACCTTGGCTCACACGGAAGGAACTGTTCTGTTCCTGCAAATATAAAGCATTCACAGTTAGTGACTGACAGATGGGGCTATGTCTGTCCTGTGAGTGGCCCCAATAGTGTTCCAGCCTGTAAAATTCTGTGCACCATGGTGTGAACCTCTTCAGAGATGAACCATCCACCCCCATCTCCTCTGTTCTACTGAGCGCCAAAAACTGATCTTGAAACCATGCTCTGAGAGGAGGCAGATGGACCTATGGTTGGTTATATGCTCCACGGAGTGGGTGAATGGGTACATGGCTTGGGACACAGAGCAGACGGCCATGCACTCCAGAAAGGGGACAGCTGTGAGTGGTCTCTTTCAAAAGAAACTCAGTGTAATGTGCAATGGGAGAAAGTGCTGAAATACCTGGAGAAAATGTGGATAGTGAATGTTGCTTAAAACCTTAGAGCTCTGGGGAGAAATCTCACACAGCATTATTATGGATTATTTGTATTACTACAGAACCTACAGGCCCCAACTGGGATTGGGACCCTAATCAGCTAGACTTTTTAAAACAAAGAAAAAGGCAGTCTCTACCTCAAATTGCTTATAATCTAAAATCCCAGAAATTCTTTCCACCTCTGTGTGTGTGATTTTTGTGGACCGCTCATGACTATGGTACCTGACACCTGGTTTCCAGTTTCAGGTAAGGTCTATTCACAGGGTGGGAAATGACTGACCCATTTGCGTTTACATGGTGGTTCAGCTTCTGCAACTTGGGGTATTGTGTGACCTTTGCCCCAGTCTAGTAATATTTATGGCTGAGGAACCAAGATCAAATTAGGAACCAAACCCTGATTTTGAGTCAGTTTTGGGCAAACCTTTCGCACAGTCCTAATATTTATCCCCATTCCACTTCTGGGAGGAGCTACTTTCTACAAAGTATCTCTAGTCCATTCTGAGCCTGACTGTCTTGTTCAGGCTGGACTCATTTCCATACCTCCCCCAGAGTGTTGGTTCTTACAGAGGGGGCTGTCTTCATATTTCTTGCCTCTCCCAGTTAGGTGGCAAGGGGCTTGATCTGGGCAACAGGGGATGGATCATTCAAAATTGCCCTGTTCTGTTCATTCCCTCTGAAGCACCTGGCATTGGCCACTGTCGAAAAACAGGATACTGGGCTAGCTGGACCATTGGTCTGACCCAGTAGGGCCATTCTTATAGGATAGCCATCTGCCCAGGTTTTCCCAGGATCGTCCCTTTTTGGAGGTAGCTGTTCCAGGAAATCTGTAAGTCTCCCAAAGACATTAAAAGTCCTGGGTTTTGTCACTTGCGTAACAATACACTACTCAACACAAATTTGATCAAAACTCTGCATGAAGGAGAGGAGTGGTAGGAACTCAGCCTGAAAGGGGAAGGCTCACATTGTGCCCAGTCCGGCAGCCATGCAGTACAGCTGCCTTTCCTCAGCTCGCCTGGCCCCACCACCCTGCTCCTCTGTGCCCAGTTGCCCTTGCTCTGCCCACCCCCATAGTGCGACCACAGCACCTTCAACTTGAGAACAGGCTAGGCCAGGCCAATGGGGGGGGGGGGGGGGGAGGAGCCTGCCTTACTGAGAGAGCAGAGACCACACAGGAAAGGCCCCCGCTTCATATTTACCAACTAGGCCTTGATTCACCCTCCCATCCCTACTCCCCACAATTGTACAATGACCACGCCACTGACTCTGGCTCCTCCTCTTAAAGGTCCTGGGTTTTTGTATTTCAGGTGGCAGTCCTTCCCGCAGAGCTCCCTCTGTCTCTTGCAGGAAGGGGTCTGACTCCACAACTCTAACCCCTAGAGTGTCTTCTTTCATATTCTGTGGCTGCCTCCTCATTTCTCTAGTCCTACCCAAGTCTCTCTCTGACATCCTGGGATGTGGCTGTACTGAACCTCTCACTGCCATTCATTAATGGACATCTTGCCACTAGTTCACCTTTATTTCCAGTGGGCCAAATCCTTCCCCCAGAACCACACCTGAGTAGCTGGGCTTGTGCAGGAAGCTCCATGGGGCTGGAAAGGAGAGATCTCCACCATCTCCCCCAGTCATCAAGGGGCAGGGAAGACACTCTGTAGCTGCTACGGCAGCCCCATGGCTGCAGTAGCCCCAAAGCTGCTGTGCTCCCACTATGCAGGAGGAATGTCCCACATATTGAATCCAGTCTCTGGCCCTGCTTCTCACCTGTCCCACTCCTGTCCCCAAATTCTGCTGCCTGGAAATGAGGAAGGAGCCCGCTGTGGAGCCCTGGATGGATTCCCAAAATCTTCACCTGTGGGCAGCAGATCCACATTGCTTCTGCTGCAGGTAGGGCCCTCCCCAGCAGCAGATCAGGGGGTCAGGAGCTGTCCAGTTTTGTCTTAAATCATTAATTATTGTTCCAGTGTTGTTTGCCTGCTGTGACTGAAATACAGACTGATGTCTCCCATACAGAGTGACCCATAATGAAGCCATGTTCCTGTGGCTGAATAACTAGGCCATGAAGCACAATGATAGTCTTGTGGTTAAGGCATTTGACTGTGACCCAGGAGGGCTGAGAGACCTATTTTTTGCTCTGCTATAGACTGCTGTGTGACCTTAGTCAGGTCACAAAGACATATGAATGAATATGTATATAAATGGCACTGGAAGTGGTGTGTGCTCTCGGTGTAACAGGTAGATTGTGCATTGACTGACACACGGGAGACTTTTCAAAGCTTGCACTGAGTTTTTTATTGCACCACACCACTGATTTTATTAATGGCAGCCAGAATACTAAACCCGCAAGCGCCTCTATGAAAATTTAGGGCACAACCTGGCAGCTTGGCGCAGGTGGCTAACAGGGTGAGGGACCCTGCCGGGGGAGTATGTGATACACCTAACCATCTCACCCATTTCTTTTTATCCTCATGAGTAAACCAACTGTCCAAAGCTAGATCCAGCCCATCCAGGCAGTGCACCGTTAGAGCTGAATAAAGAGGAATAAAGGTGGGATTTTCAGAAGTGCCTAAATGAGATAGGAGCACAAGACCCACTTACTTGTAATGGGACTTTGAAAATCCCACCCTAAACACAAAGAGAGGGGCAGTCTGTGCCTTTCCCTGGGGAGGATTATGGCAGGATCCCTGGGATTCGGGGACCATTGTTGGAGGAGCATCGAGCCTATGGCCAGACAGATGGCATCACACACAGCTGTTTGCTGTTGTCTGCTGCAGCAGCTGAAGGGGAGGAAATACATCCTGCTCTAGGGTGCTCCACTCAATCCCTTTGGTCCCATTATGGCATGACCCAGGCAAAAGGGACCATAGGCAGCAGCTGAGAGCTATATGACCCTGGTTCAGCAGGTGTGCACAGCACACTATCCTGGTTGTCTCTGGGTGCCCATATCTTTGGTGGCTCTGGAGCCAGGGTAGCCCTAACCCATCCCCCGTTCTTCAGCTGTGCACAGGCTTTCATGTTCTCCTGGAGATAAAGCAAACAGAATCTAGAAGTATGAGCACAACCACCCACTGTTTCCTATAACAACAGTCTCTATTTCTCACCTCTAGCATAGCCCTTTCCTTCCCAAGTTAATAAGCCAAAAACCAGGTAAGTCCTAACCCTCCTTTCTTCCCATCCTCCAGTGACCGCCTGGGAATCATTCTCCCCTCCCCTTTCCCACCACCGTATGCAGAAACAAGTGAATTCTGGGGAGTGAGCCTTAGGCAGCAGCCAGTGCACTGGAATAATGAGAGCTAGACAGGCTGTGCCATCCTGCACAAGTCTCTGTGTGTCTCTATCCACTGTGTGTGTATGCATCTGTGAGAGCGTCCTCTCTCTCTCTCTCTTCTCCCCCTTCTCTCTCCTTCATAACCCCCTCCTCCTTCCACCAGCTCTTGTTCTTTTCATGAGATGCAGCGCTAGGAAGCTAGGAGAGTAGCACGGTGCTGCAGTTATTCTAGAGATAACTGTGGTCAGGCTGGCTACTCTTCACGCTCCCCGATGTACCAGGAGGCTGCAGACCCTGTCATTCAGAGCCTCGACAAGCCATGCCCATCAAGCACCTGCCAAAACTACATAGCCACCACCATGCTGACAGCTACAAGACAGGTAAGACCTAGGAGTTCGTTATTATGTAGGGAAGCTTCTGGGAAAGGCCTCTGTGTAACAGGGCTACAGGCCTCTTGGTTCTCAGCTCAGATGTAATCTCCTTGGTGTTGACTTTTTCTTTATTCTAGCACCAATTCCTGTAGTGAACAATGGGCCTGCAAAGGGGTGGGGGAGAGAGCCGCATTGACTGTCACCACAATTAATGTCACCGTACCGCTTCTGTTGGTATGTTAATCTTTCTGGGGCCTCTTATGAATGGCCTAAAAAGTCTAGACACTGTTTCCAATTAGCAATTGCAGCAAGAGCTGTGTATTTCCTCCGATTCCCCCCATTTCATGCCTCCCCAAGCCTTGCCAGGGCCCGTACTAGAAGCTGGGACTCCGGTTCTAGATATCTGTTTCAAGTGGATTAGCTGTGGTCTTTTTACACTTCTAGAATAACAATAATTTATCCTGGTAGCTATAGTTACAAGGTCTTCACTATATTTTTAGTTTCATTCATATTTTTTTTCTTTACAAGGATGGATCATATTTTCTTTTAAATACTCGGCTTCCAATTTATTCATGCCACTGTGACTAACACCCGTGATTAACACCACTGCTCAGTTAATTAAAAATAAAACTAATTTGAGTGAAAGGAGAGTGTCGGAGGTGACAGAACTATGCCAAGTGCTCGATGTAGTGTAAACGTGCAGACGGTAGGAGAGTTGTGGGGGAGCAGGCGAGATCTAGTCCAAGAGGGTTGTCTCAACCCACCATACTGGCTGTTGGATAACTACTACTCTGTCGTAACAATTTCCATATTTTTGTTTTATGTTTGGTGCTTGGGGGTGAAATTTGGTAAATTAGAGTGGTCATGAAATAAGAGGGGCCAGTAGCACTGAAGTCTACACAAGCTTCTCAATATGGCTTCCCACCGATTCACCTCACTCCTGACCCATATTAATCTTGTTATTCTAGTGCCAGGCGCCCACACAGCTCTACTAATGCACCTCAGTTCTGACCAATGTGAATCCTGCTGTTCTGGTACTGAAACCCCACACCCCTCCCTCACTGCACCATGCCACCGCTCTGCAGCATGCTTCTTTTTCCACCTCAAGGCTTCTCCTACACAGAAACTAATAATGCTGGATAATAGTCAGTGGGAATAGCCTGGACAGTTACTTTGAAAGCTTTCTACACAACGCTGTGGGTGCTTAATCATTAGGGCTGGAATAATGCATGCAAATCCTGCAAATCACAGCTCTGCCAGTGTACCTCAGTCCAGATCTGTGATACTTCTGCTATTCCACTCCAGCCTCCTGAGCAGAGAATTGAGCTAAATAGTGGTTTTTGGGTTTTTTTTGGGGAGGAAAAAGATCTCCTGGAGAACAGGGTGAGCCCATCTAGCGCATTTCATTTATGTCCTATTCCAGGTTTGAACAGTGATCTCTGCAGATGAAAGATGGCACATTAAGATCCTGATCCAGCAAAGCACTTAAGTATGTGCTTAAACTGAATAATGGGAGTTGCCCATTGAAGTTAAGCATGTGCTTAAGTCCTTTGCTGGATTGAGAGCTGTGTCTGCTGTGCCATCTTGCACCTCTGAAGAGTGGTCAACAGCCCTAACCACTCTATAGATGGGGCTTGTGTGTCCTGTGGGTGACGGGTCTGATAAGAGCATGCGGACATAGCTGCCATCCCTATTAAATGGATTTCTAATTGCACATCACTTGGGCCTGTAATGGGATGCAACTGCAACCTCCAGGTGTCAGCCTGAACTTGGGTATTTGGTGACCTTGCTAGTTTATACGGTGTTCAGTGTAATTATACCCTTCTCTTGGAAACTCTAGGTCAGTCAGGGTCTCCCTGAATTGTCTGGAAGTATCAAGTTAACTGCAGCATCCAGCAAACCCCACTGTCTGATGTGTATCTGATGTCACAGCACATGTAAAAGTGTGTAGCAGTTTTTGCTTCTGCTCCCTCATCTAGCAGGCTCTACCAAATATAATTTGTACTTATAACTTGTTATAACTTGTACATTTCCAGCAAGAGTCTGTCAGAGTTTCCACGATAAACCCCATTTTACAGGGGTTCATGCCAGTTGCAGTTTAGATACTGCCATATTGACATCAGCAGCATCAGTGAGGCTGAAAGCTGGGGAGGACTCCAAGATGACACTGAACAGACCTATGTCAGGATAAATATTTTCAGCATCTCTGCTCCACACATACCAGCATCATCTCCAAAATGCACACGCACGTGCACACACTCGTGTGTGTACGTACAGACATCACATTTAAGGGGAATCTCAGCTGCTCCATTCCAATGCAAATGCTGTTACCACTCAGGGAGCCCTACTTGCTGCCTCGCTGTTGATTTTTCATTCTGCCTGCCTGGAGGAATCAGTGAGACTGAATCCTGAGCACACAGGCTGTGGTCAGAAGCCATCTAGCAGTTAGAGAGATTTGTTCTGCTACATCAATCACAGCATGATGCCAGAGACAGTCCAGGAGATGCTTTTGTCATTGACACAGGGGAAGAATTTAAATAGCTGGCACTCTCACACTGAACACAGAAAGACAAACCTATGGATCATATTTTATGTATCTCATATTTGTATTTTTAATATGGTCTTTAATTTTCAAGGAACTCTGTAGCCCTGTGCTCTCCTACCTCCCTTCCCAGCACAGGATGAGCCCCGGTGCTTTCCTACCTACCTCTACCCAGTATGCGGTCCCAAAGTCTGTCCTGCCTTCCCCAGCCCAATACCTGCACTTCACACTCTCTCCTAGGTCTAAAGGGAGTAGAAGCATTTACAAAGCTTTAAACTAGAGCCTCAGATGTTTTCTGACCCGTTTGTATTGTTGTGAGCTGGGTTAAATCTTGTTGTTATGGATTGGGTGAAAGTGCTGCCTTTCATTCAGATTAAAAGTAAAGAAGTATTTGAAAAAACAGAAGTAGTACCCAGAATACAGGCACACAGGAAAACTTAAGGAGAAGCAGAACCACATGGCCCAAGGGGTTTTTAAATGCAGGGGCTAGGGCTTGGACTGGCGCAATGGTTTCTGTCGGTGTGTGAGAGCAGGAGCAAGGAGAGACAGAAGTGGCCAAAAAGCTAAGCAGACAGTAACAAAAGCACTGGTAATGTGGCCATATGAGAAAGTTAAGAGACAAGGCTTTTTTGGGGTGCAGAGTGCTGCTGGAAAAGGCAGGTTTGGAACAGCAAGCAAAGAAACTCTCCTGCTGTTTGATTCCTGCTGTGTTCAGGGAAACAGGACTTTATGTATAATCTTTGTAAATAAACAAAATTGCACCAAAGAAAATACCTGGTGCTATCATCAATTTCTCCTCCTAGTGAAAACAGGCTGCAGGGCCCCAAACTTTGGCTATGCATGCCAGTCAAAAATAGTACCAATATAGATCCCACTTGGTGGATTTCTCACAGGGCCCTTCTCACATATTATAAATCACCTTTTTATTTAGTGTTTTAATTCACTGTTCTGTCAACTGGAGGGTTAATTTCAGGCTACAAGAGTGTGACCTTTGCTGCAATCCCAATCTGCTTCACCCCAACCCCAAAACAACATGGCACTGTCCAAACAGAGATCTCTAGGAGGACTTCTCGTATTAGACATCAGACACTGAGAGTGATTCTAATGTTTAACACTAGAGATGTTCCTTAGGCCCTAATTCTGAACCGTGGCTGAGAAGAGCTCAGCACCACTCCAGAAGAGGGATTAAAGAGTGCACTAAACTGTGTTTGCAGTCCCTTGATCCTGGGCCCACCCAGGTGCCAATCTGGTTTCTGGGTATGTTTGAACAGCCTCATGAGGGAGGTGGGGTGCCATAGGAGCCATTATGGCATCTCTGCACCACCCAAGGTCCCCACTACAGTGGGAGAATCCCCCTGTGGCCAATTCAGATGGTTTTAGGATAGTGATACAAAGCTGAAAATGGCAAGGCACTGAGTGAGAAGAGAGTGGCAAGGAGGTATAACAGTGAGGGAACGATGGGAATAGAGAAAAAAGGAAGAAGAAAAGAGAGATGAAGAAGGGAAAGCAAAATAAACAGGAGAGGCAGAGAAAAGGAAAAAAGTCAAAGCAAACATATCCAAACAGTGGCCCAAATTCAGAGATGAGTCAAAATAAGAGTTTCTAAGAGAATCTAAACTGATGTAACTTATCACGTCTACTATTCAACTACTAAATTACACCAATTTAGACTTCCTCAGGGTTTGTCTGTTCCAGAGCTTTAGCTCCAGGTCAAAACTATTTGTTCCTTTTAACCTGCTCTCCATCCAAGCACAAAGCTCTCAGTCGTATATTACTCATGGCAGAAGTCAGAATAGGACCCACAAATGCAGCCTCATCTAGTTAGGCTGAATAGTGTGCAGCTAGCCCCAGTGTGACAGCAGGGCAGTGCTGCGATACAACAATCAATGCAAGCTAGTCCTCCAGGGCAAGCCCTCAGGCTCTTCTGACCTCTTCCCACAGAGATCAAAGAGGCAACAAAGACTAATTAAAATTTAATCATGGGTGACTTCAGCTATTTGGATAGAAGTTGGTCAAATGTCACCGTGGAACAAGGTTTAGGGAAGCAATTTCTTGGCATCTTGAAAAAGTGCTTCTTGGAACAGATAATTGTAGAGCACACAATAGGAAAGGTTACTTGCCACTTATTCCTAAACAATGCAGGGGACACAGAAGTAACTATTCACTAGGTAATAATGCCTACAGTCTAATTAAGTTTAACATCCTCAGAGGAGGGATTGTACAAAAATGTAGCATGGTGACACTATACTTTAGAAAGGGAGATTTCAATAACATAAGCAAGCTAACCGAGAAGACCTTAAAATCAGCAGTGAGGTGAGGAATTTAAAATCTTTAGAATCAACAGGGAGGCTAGTTAACCATACCACAACAGAGATAAACAAAGGCATATGGACCCTTAAGCAAACAACCCCCTGCTCCCAAAACAACAACAACAAAAATCACATGCACACATACTTCCAAACTGGAAGGGGGAAAAAAGCCTGTTTAAATGATTAGGTACAAGAGATTATTTGAGTCAAACAGGTATAGACCTGTAGCCCAAGTAAAGAAGTTCATTAACTCAGGAACACCCTCCAAAATGCCAGTGAATGCCATCCCTTCCCTGTCTATGATTGGATCAGATGATATCCTTTAGGACTTCTGCGATACCTCTGAGCAGAGTACTACTCTGTCCTTACTCAGTGGAAGGAGGAATGTGGGAGAGGCACAAGTTACATATCAGGCCCTGAGAGAGGCTGCTGCCACTGACTACAAGACCATCAAAGCTGCAATCCTGGGCCAGCTAGCAGTTTCAGAAACAAAGGCTGCTGTTCTCTAGGAAGCACGTTTCCTCACGACTGTGACCATTCACTTTCACTTGGCAGCTCAGTGGCTCAAGCCATAGTCTGGGACAACAGGAGACGCAATGGACATAGTTGTTCTAGAAGAGTTTTCACATAGTGGGGCAAACCAAAGGCATGCCGAGGGGGTGACAACCAGTTGTAAGTTCATATCATAAATTTGGGGGATGTTGTCAACTTGCCATGGGCAAAACATTAGCGACATAAAGGAGGCAGGGAGACATTTGAGTTTACAGAAGGTGCAGAGGGACCTGAAGGAAAGAGCTTGATGGTAGAGATTAGATTGTTGAGCCAGTAAATGACCTTCTGTCCTGTCCAGTGATTCCTTGTGTCCATAGAGTCTCCCTGATAACCTCATCTCAATACCACACATTTATGTTTTGTGTATTTGCTATTAGGCCATGAGGAAATTGCTGTAAAAGATTTCTTAAAGAGATTTAAAATGCTGGATGGTATTCAAATTTAATATTTAAATGGCTGTTTTATTAAAAGCTTTTAAATAGAAGCCAGCATAGTACATCTGCTAAAACAAAAACACAAGGGCCATTGTAGAAGGAATTTGCTATAAACCCTTCTCCTACCTCACAGAGGCTTTCTAAAATATTACACTGCAAAATATAATTCTCTTTATCTTCAATTTAATTACATTTGCCATGCCGCATCTATCAACCCAGTGCACATAGTTTGTTCCCGATTAACTCAATCCTGACCAGGAAAGTAATGGAGAGAAGTATCAGTCTCCACGGTTATTCTGGGGCTGCCCAATAACCCACTTTGCCCCAAGAAATGGATGCATTAACAACACTAACCTGGAGAATCAATAAGGCAAATTACAGGCTTGATTCTCTACTCTGTTACACTGTTGACGTCAATGGAGTTCACATGATGTAAAATCTGATGTAACAGAGGGAAGACTCACACCATAATCTCCAGATTCATTATACATCCAGGACAGGTGGCTCAGAGATTTTGTTTGATTCAGATCAAAGTAAAGTCAAAAAGTCTGGATGCTGGAGCTGAACTTTCCAAAATGGGTCTTTTTGTTGGTCTAGAAGTTGTGTTGAAGAGCCTTCAACATTTGGCTTTTTTGTCATTGCAAAAATAACACATCTCATTGTATTGCAATAGCCCAGACAGAAGTAGGAAGAAGCACAGAATAGTGAAAATGACAAGCTAAATGTTCACTGAGCTGTCTGCAACGTTGTTCTGAATTTGGTTTGGATTTGGGCAAAGGCTCATGCTGGTTGTCATTTAGTTTGAACAAATTCACCCACCTTATCAACACCATTTGCACACTATGAGCCTCAGCTTCTCACACTGGATGACAAACGTCTTATATCAGCCACCACGTTGGTTCAGTTCCTGGCTCCTGGTGAAACTGAGGCCTGATCAATCAGCATCATCACAGCCTGGAGTATTGTGTACTGAGCTGAGAATAGATAAATCACTTCCCTGAGAACTCCAGGTTATAAAGGAATAATTCCAAGATGAAAAGCTAGTATGGCTCTTATATTTGCTTAAATAATTTTTATATCCATCATAAATCTTTTCTCAGTAGATTCTGCCCATATAATCACATATGGTCTCAGGATATGCTTCAAGCTGGGGCTACAAAGAACACAAAAGCCAGAAGTCTTTACTAAAGAAAGAGGGGCAGGTGAGGCTTTCGACAGAATACCAGTTCCAGACAATGACGGGAAAGAGTAGTAAAACAGTAGTAATTGTATGTTTGTGTGGCCAAGGGAGACATTTTGCATCTTTTCTGAGAATATTGGTTAGGATCTGTATTAAAGGGTTGGCATGTGGTATAGAAGGAAGTGGGATAAGAACAGGTCATCACAGCCTCACAGAAGTTAGAGAGGCAAAAAGACCTGTTAAGTCACCTAACGTACGATTTTAAAAAGTGACTTAGGAGGGGACACGCGCCACTGACTTTCAAGTCACTTAGTTGCTTTTGAAAACGTCTCCCCTTGTCTATTCCCTCTGCCAGTTCAGGCCTGAGGGCACAAGGATGGAAGAGTTCATCAGTCTGTATATGACGAGAGAGGGGAATTTGGATCTGTAACAGAGGAAGAGACGAGAAAACAGAAAGTGAGACACTGGTGGCTCTGTGTGGGAGGGCAGGGAATTTGGGTTGTTAGTAAAAGTCAGGTGAGAAGTGGTATGAGAGAATGTGAGATAACAGCAGGTCTTCATGGGATGGAAAGGAAATTCACATCTGTAACCTGCCAGGGGGGGATTTTTTACTGGCTCTGCATTTATCACATTACATCCAATAAGGAGCCTTCCTTGCTTTTTAATAGATTTGATTTGGTTTTGATAACAACAGGACTCTTTAATTACACTCTCCAGTACCTTTTCTGTCAGCAGCTGTCTGTGGAAAGAGCTCTGTGACCTATGATCTGAAAACAATAACCTGTCCCAACCTCAGAGGAGGGTTTTTTTACGACAATGCAGGTTGATGCTTTATTCCAATTTAATCAGGGTAACAACAACAGAGAATGTTTGCAGGGGAATCCCATCTGAATTCTCCCTGTGAACCTTTCTCATATACAGAATATGCCAAGCGGTGGATTATTTTAATGTAATAGAAGCTAAGGGATTTGTGATCAGGTTAATGAGGAGGAGGAGGATGAAGGATGCAACAAAGTGTTCTGATCAGGTGGGCTATTCTGAAATCCCACCAATGAGATGTGTGAGCCGGCTCTGCAGTATTAGTGTAGCCAAGCCTCAGTCTGCTGGGTTAGGCTGCTTTAGTGTTTACTGGATGTGACACAGATAGGAGAGCTGCTTTCAGCTGTGCTGCTGCTCGGAGAAAGTGGGGAGGGGGAGGTGTGTCTGAGTGTGACTTTCTGCCTCTTAAGAGACTGCTCTATTCTCTCCGTAGAGCCTCTCCGATCACACAATTGGCAAAGAACCACAGGTCGTGAGGACAGGTCAAAGGCAGTGAGTATCTTTTCTCTGTCTCTGTCTGTCTGTCTGTCTGGAATGCCTTATCCATGTTCAATTCATCTGGCTTTCTACATATATTGATGGATGTTCTTAATCTCTTGCAGTCTCTTTGGAAATCTCTGCTCTTCCTTTTTAAACCTCAGCATTATTAGTTTTCTCCCCTGGGATGGCTTCATTTTTCTTGTCCTGGGGTGACTCTACAATGTCATCTTGCTGAAGTTGGGTGCCATGATCAAAACAAACTCCCCCTCCTCTGCCCCCAAATAGCATCCTCAAAACATGCACTGGAAGATGCTGGCAATTCCTCTCTGTACTGGAGTTCTATTATAGGGTGGGAAAAGAGATGGGGTGTGTGGTGGGAGTAAGATCCATGGATGGATTCCTACTGGGACCAGTTTCACAGAGTCACATATTGGATTTATTAAGGTGTAAACAATTGGCTGTACCTGCAGCAGAGAGAATTACTGGTAGGTTTAAAAGACCGGGGAAAAGAGAGATCACCAGAGCCTCAGGTTTGCCCTCATTAGCTATCTTGGGTCATTCCAGCAATGAAGAGAGAAATACATTGGTCAGAGAGAAGTTCTCCAGTGGTCAGCTGTGGCATCAGCAGGAAAGGTGGCTGTGGTAGAGGGAAGGGAACATTATGGATGATGGCGAGGGACAGTGAGGATGGGGTGGAACTGTCATAAATCAGGAGCCCAGAAGAGTGCAGAGCATTTTCGTGGTAGAACTCAAGTGCATGAACGTGTGGGGTTGTGTGGGAGAGGAGCACCAGCAGCTGCCCAGCTCTGCCCTCAATGACCAATGCCAGCCTGGCAATGGGGAAGAAAAATCCTGGCTACTGGAATCGAGGGGTTCACATGCTTTGGTTTCACATCCGAGTGAGGTTGTGTTAATAAGGAAATTCAAAGGGGCTTAGGGAATTATAGGGATTGGTTTCAGCTAAAACACAATGGAAGGCAGACGGTCAGAGTGGGGATTAAGGAAATGCACTCACTGGCATGTAATGCAATCCCTTCTCCATTAGTTTAGTGGGGAAGAAGCTTTGTGCATTTTTAACGTAATCAGGTCTTAAAATGGATGCTGCATTTGGCAGCAGTAGCCTTGGGAATTCTTCAGGCCCGAAGAAGGTGGGCACCCCACTCCTCCCCAGACAATCTCCTCTCTTCTGCTCCTTTGTCTTCTGCTTGGGTGCCTTCTTTGGGTAAGAAGATAGGGAGGTTATCAGGTGTTTCTCCTCTCTCATGGTCACTAGGAAGCAACTATACTGTGTGCACCAGGGAGACAGCATTTATCCATTATGTGTCCCATCAGCTTCCTTCCTGGTGGAACCTGGCCTTCCTCCCTGGAATGAGATTCAGTGACAAGGCAGAGGAACAAGCTGGCCCTGTGCCAAAGGTTGTCCATTTCCTCTGCTCTTTTCTCCTTCTCCTCAGCCATTCACAGACTGCACAGGCTCCAAGAGTCCAAATGATTAGATGCATCAGGAATTAGCTTTTATATTGTGTGTGAATGTTTGAGCCTGTGGTGGTTAAAGGATCAGCCCCTACAGAAGGGTGAAGTCCTTGTGTTATTTTATTTACAGGTTAGTTGCAGTGCCAGCTTTTCCAGGATGCCTGGTCAGTAACATCAACCATGACCTAGAGGGATGACAGGGGCAAGAAGTAGTTTGGTCTTAGCCAGCTCAGTCCTGAGCTGAGCCCATTGAGCAAAGACTGCCAATTGTGTTGAATGAAATGTACTGTTATGTCAACCCCTGCCATTCAGTGGTGAGCTGACACCACCAAACTCATTTCACTTAGACCTGAAGCTGGACTAGAACCTTGGTTCTGGGGATTAAAGGAGAGGATTAAATTTCCTGCTATGACCAACCTTCAACTCTGAATGGTTTTCACTGAAAATCCAACATTCCCTTCTAGGAGGCAAGAGAATTAAATGGGTTGAGAACAGCTGTCCCTCCTTTTACAGAGGATTCTTTGATTTTAAGGGACAGGACATGAAACAGTAAATCCCTCCTCCCCGCAGTCTTATCTCCTGCAAACAGCACTGGCCGCCCTACAAGCCGGCCAATTAAAGGGTTAACTGTAACTGGATGCCTGCATGGATGCCTTACTGATTCCATGGAGGTAACTGAAAAGAAAGGATCCATTCTTCACCCCTTCCCACCCTGTAACCCTCTCCCTTGTCTGATAAGCCTTTAAGCTCATTCCAATGTACCTCTTCCCCTCCTGACCTTCCCTTGCTTCTCCATTTCCCATGGATTCCATTTCCTTCTTCCCCTTCCGCGTCCTTCCTTGGAAGCCAAAACCTTAGGCTCAATATTCCGTCAAAAATGAGATCCTCCTTGTGCAACAGCATCTCTGTCTTTCTTGTACTGTTATTCCCTGCTGCAGTCCCTTGATCTCAGACATCAGAGAAATTTAACCAGCATTGCGGTAATGTGTGTCGCACCTCTGCTGAGCAATTCATGAGCCTTTCACAGAGTCTGCTGGAACAGGCATTGCAGGAAGGATGAAGGTTGGGGGTGACTGGTGGAAAAAGCATTAAAAAGCTCATAGATTAGACGCAACAGCATCGGAGTCCTCAGCATAGTTGAGAGATAGCATTTTACAGGGAATGTTTCTGCATCAACGTTTAGAGTCCTTGTGGAATTTTGTCCTGAGATCTTTGGTCACATGTCCATGTTTTGATGTCGTCCACCAATGCCTGTAACTAAGGATCTCAATATTTTGCCATAGTTAATGCTACAAGCTGTCCATATTGTGCCAGGGAGACAATCATTGCATTCAATTAATATTTAATTTGCTCTAAAATTATATTAAAACATGCATAATAGGAACTATCTGAGAGTGATAAAGAAGGAAAAAAAGTGGGCACAATGCAAACTGGCTCAGGGACTAGCACCAATGTGTTCGGAAAAAATATTATATATGGAATGGAAGAATGTTATGCTTCCCTCTGCAGTCATGGAAAGCTTTATCAATCTGTTTTGCAGAAGAGTTAAAAGAAGAGGGTCTTTCCAGGTCAGGGTTGGGTCCAGTATCGGAAGAGCGTGGGCTGAATTATTGAATTCTCCAATTCTCATCCGCAGGAGAAGGTGCTCTCATTTAGTGTTGGGAGAATCCATTAGCCGAGATGCTTTTCGGGTTGGAGAGAGGAGTAATGGATTATGCATTTCTTGCTCTTTCAAACCATGTTGTAAAACTATTAACCAATATTTATTTGTTTGAGAGGGGACAGTGCCAAAATAGGACTGTTCCTGTACAGTGGCAATTGCTCTCACCTTCCTGTTTGATGCCTCTCCACCCAAGTTTTCCCAGTGAGATTGTTATGTAATAATTGGGTGTTGTGCACGTGTCTCCCACCCCACTGGAGGGGTGGGAATGGTTACAAGGTGGGAAGGGGTGAAATCTGTGGAACATGTTTTAGAGAGCAAATGATAGAGTAAATCCTTGCACAGATAAATCTATAGTGGATGAAATTTATCTCTAGTCCACTAGTCCTTGTCACTCTGAATTTACAGATCCCATCCAGAATCCTGCCAGGCCTTTATGATTCTGTATTAGAGGGTCATTTGCAGCGCCCACCTGCTCCCTCTAATCCTTTATGCCCTCCTAACTGCAAGTGCTCATGGTATTTGTACCATCCTTGCACTGGTGAAAAGTGGTGACTGATTTCTGGCACAGCTGCCTAGTTCCCCCCTTCTATCATCCAGAGAAGAGCGCCACAAGAAACCATTCCAAGCCAGTGGCCTTTCACACTGATTCACCATTCTGACCTACTGACTTGTGAGCTACAAAGCAAGGGCTTTAATTACTGGAGACTCTGTTCTGATATTTTAGTCCAGGGGTTCCCAAACTGGGGGATGGGACCCCTCAGGGGGTTACAGGGTTATTACATGGGGGGGGGGGGTTGTGAGCTGTCAGCCTCCACCCCAGACCCCTCTTTGCCTCCAGCATTTATAATGGTGTTAAATATATTTAAAAGTGTTTTTAATTTATAAGGGGAGTTGCACTCAGAGGCTTGCTATGTGAAAGGGGTAACCAGTACAAAAGTTTGAGAACCACTGTTTTAGTCCTATCTGCCCAAACAAAAAACCATCCTAGCTATCTCTCAGCCTTCATTGAAGATGTTTGGCTAAACCCTCAGAACCCTTGCTTGGGGGCCTCATTAGATAAAAAGTCACTGAGATCTTGCATTGTACAACTCTGGCTAGTCTTGTAATTGTCACCGTCTCTGGTTCTCCCCTGCCTGCACCCCTATCCCATACTGATTACAGGAACAGAGGGATGAGAACTCGCCTGGGCTGCCTGTCTCACAAATCAGACTCATGTAATGATTTCACAGCCATTCTTCCAGATAAGCCCAACCGGGCTTTGAAGTGAGTATAGATGCACCATTCTCCTTCCCTTTCTATTTGTATTTCCTTCCTTTCATTGTACTTTGTAAGCTTTGAACCCCAATCCCTGCAACTGGAATTGGTTTTAGCACTGAACATTCCTGAAAAATAATTAATTTAATCTTTTGAGAGCAAGCAATGAAAAATCCCCAAATCTTTGGAGATCTGCTTTTCCCAAAAGGAAGACAGAAACCCACGGAATTTGAAACAGCACCAGCTCTGTTAGAAAATACTTGCATCATGGATAAATTGGAGCAAATTCTCAGATAGAACATGCATACCACCCCCCTGATACAAATGGGAGTTGTGTGCATTTATCTGAGGACAGAATTTGGCCCATTGTTATTACAAGTCTAAATATGAGCAGACACCTCTGCATAACAGGTGATCAGCATCTTCAATCCATAGCCCTATTATGCTCTACAACACTGGAGGCATTTAACTGATCTGCTAAGTTTCATTATTAAAGTCAAGAACAAACAGCTTTATTGAATGCATCCAGCTTGCGTTAAGGTTTAGCTAAAACAACTAGACCTCCACACCTCCAAAGAGTCCTGTATCAGCATGTACTAGGACTTGTGTAAAACTTGGGATTAATTCCTCAGTGATTGCCTCTACTTTGGTTGATACAAAGTCCTGGTCTAAATCATCTGGTGTCTTGTCCAGCCCTTCCCGGGCAAGTTGCACCAGAAGCCTATCTGTAATAGACTATTTGTGATTGTCATTTCCTTTCTTTTAGAAGATTATCAACAGAAGAAGCCACAAGATGGGCAGATTCGTTTGACAGTCTCTTGTCCCATAAATGTGAGTAGAAGCTACATTCTACCTCCATCCTCTTTCACAAATATTTACTGTAGTTCAAATGTGAAGAATCGTATTAGATGGCACAAGGACCCTCAGTGGATCTCTGCATAACTGTCTGTCTATCTTAACCATCCATAATTAAGGAATCAGGGCAATATCACAAGAACATGCTGGGAGGGAGTGTGTACTATAACACTAACATACACTGTGGCTGAAATTTTCAAACCCGCCTTGGGGATCTGGCTGCCCAATTCCCATTAATGTCAATGGGAAATCCAGTGGGCATTCAATTCCCCTATGTGACTTTGAACATTCCAGCATATAGCTTTGCTCATTACAAAAATGACATATTTTAGTTGTTGCACGGTATAACCTATAGTTAAACATACAAGTGTGAATGTTCTACAAACACAAACCATACAGAACCATGTAATCATCACACTTCATACCACTAAACAGATCAATCATTCCAATTCTGTTTATAAAAATATTATTCTGCTCCACCAACGCATTCTGCTGGGAAGCTATGGAATTCTGATATCGTGGAACGGAACCTGGGACTGCATCCTTTCACAATCTTTTCTACACCTTTAACAAATTAGCGGTTTATATCCAATAGCATTTTTCCATTACAGAATGAAACAAGGGGGCAAACTGAGATTGTGTGAGCAGTGTAAACTAAGAGGGGTGAGAGTGTGTGGTGAAGGCTTATATTTTCAGGAGGGAACGGGCTGGACTCCTTAAGTGTTTAGACTGACCTTTTTTTCCCCCCTGAACCCCATTGAAACCCCAGTGTTTTCGATTGGGAATTAATTGATGACTGTAAACTGCTTTGAGATCCATGGATGAAAAGATGCTGTATTATTTCACCAACAATAATTCACTGAGCATATCATTTTTGCAGCTAGGGGAAAATATTCAACTTTTTAAAACCTCTTTTTTGGTCAAAACCCAAAATATCATGGAAAACTTTTGTCAATATCCAATTTTTTTTTTGCCCAGCTCTAATATTGTCATAGTCCTATGTTACCCCTGAGCATAAGTTAGGACATTAAGAAAGGTAAGGCATGTAGTATACAAGAGTATGCTTCTGTTACAAAAGCTAAGTAGATAAGATTATATGTGATGAAATTATAGAAATAGTTTCCCTTTTAGCTGGTTGATGTGACTCCAGCCTTAGAACATCATACAGTGGGCACCATAAAAATGTCAGCATTTATTAGCAGCTACCGCACAGGGCTTGCTGAGACACCAGCTTTCTCCCATATCTAGAATAGGAAGTCATTGTGGTAACTATATGGTGTGTGATGACAAAAGCGGAGTTTCTAATAATGGCCCTGTAGAGTTACCCAGTGAACAGTGAAATATCAGTAATTTAATAACCCCCCTTACCATGGAATACTCTACATTCGGTTTTGTACCAGAAGCCTCTGGAATTGCAAATGTGAGGGTCAAAACCTGCTCTCAGTTAAACTGATACAAATTTGAAGTAACTCCATTGATGTCAACTGCGTTACTCTAGAATTACACCAATGTAAACAAGAGCAGTGCTTGGCCCACAGACCTTTGAGTGAAAGGGATTATCTTGTGGTAACCATAGTAGGTATTTTCATTTTCATAACTACATTACATTAAAAGGCAATGGAACTGCCTAAGATTCATTGTGGAAGCAGAACAAAGCTTCAGTTATCTGCATCCCCCCCCCCCCCATTAAGTAGCACACATGAACAAACATTGTCTTAAGGTCAGAGAGATAAAGAAGTCTTGTGTCTACTCTAGCATATCTGTGTGACTGTCCCTAGTGAACATTTTCAGCTAAGCGCCTACAGCTAGTGGCAAAAAAGGAGAGAACTATATCAGTCAAATTTCCTTATGACTGCCCGTGTGAACAGTGTTTGCTAGCGTAATATCAGCTCATGCTCTGGGGCATAAGATGATCACCAGCTGGGCTCAGAAATAAATTTTCTCTTTGCTTTATAGTGTTATGCAGGTATCACATTTTCTCTGAAGCATCTGGCATAAATCATTGCTTCACTAGATAGACCACTGGTCTGTTCTGGAATGGAAACTCCTGGGTAAATTTCAGAGGGGTTAAGAATTAGTTATGGTTTGCTAATTCACTTGGAATAACGTTGTTGACTCACAATTTTCACCTGCCACAGTCAAAGTTAAACCTGGAATGAGGTTTTGGGCCTCTTCAGACCAAACAATTCCTTGATGTAATGGCATGTTATGGCATAGACAGTGCTCAGGAATTGAATGACAGAGGGGAGCCAACTCCAAGCTGTTCCTCCAGGGATATACTGGAAGGAAGCAGAGAGGTATTTTTCAGATAAAAGGGAGGAATTAAATGTTACTAAAATGATACAAACTTGAGACCCTCATAACAATTCAATGAGTATTGCCAAGGTAAGGAGGTCGACATTGTACCTAGAGAGTCAGTATTCTTTTTTGGAACTTCTGAACCTCTTGTTGCCACATACAATGAGACTACAAAGAGGCTGCAGGTGGAGACATTCCAAAAAGGCCTCTAACAGAGCATCATGCAGTCTCTATGCGTAATATCAGCTCATTTACCTTTGTAAAATAGCAACTGAAGTATGAGAGGCTGCTGCTTGAATTGCTTTAGTGAACTTTATAGTAACATTTAATCTCGACATAATACTTTCAGGAGAGGGTCTCTTGAGTGGAGTCTAGGACCTTAGTTAAAAGATGTTATGTTTCCAATAAAATCTGGTTCCAGAATGATACCAGAACTTAAGGAGATCCATTGCACTCGCTCTCTCCTACCCCTCCCCAACAATCTCTACTCAGAACCCCTCTCTTTGGGGGCTCTCTGATTGCAATCTTGACCAGGGATCATGTTATTTTCTTAAATAATATGCAGCGTTCTCATTCTGGACGTGATTCATCTCTGCACCAGCATGGAGGCTAGCTGAGGGACTGAGGGGAAGTTGGCTTGTGCTTTTCCTATCCTGGGGTTGCTGCCATGCAGCCCTCCAGTGCAGGTTAGGGCAGCCCTAAAGGGGTATCTTACCTTCTGTCCTGGCCGCCATGGCCCCTATGGGACTTGCAGCATCTTAGGAAAAGCCACGGCATTGAAACACTGAGCCATACCCCCACCTGCCCTGTATTCCTGCCCCGGGGGCTCTTGTGGGGTCATGGGGCTGTAGAACCAGTGGGGTCACCTCTGTGCTTGCTGGGGAGTTCAACTGCACCAGGGGTATTCCTGGCAGGGAAGAGAACTTCTGGCTGCTCGGAAGCCCTTTTAGGCCAGCTATGCTGTTACAAAGGGGTCATAGGTCACCAGTGAATTAGTTCCATGTCTCTAGGGTCTCCCAGGATGGGCAATGCCCTACTGGATAAAGGAAATGGAATGATTCCAACTGTCTAGTCTGCAGATCATATAAAAAGACATCAGCATTGACACTGGGACGTGATCAGGAACAAGGGAGGCAGCACAACTCATGTGCTTCTAATCATACACAGCTCTGCAGCAGGCATCTGTCTTTAGCATTAGTCTGGGGATAAAGCACGTGACTCCACCTCCATCATTCTAACACTGTTTTAAAGGAACTGCTGCCAACCGGTTAAGAGTGGCTGAAGTCTTAATTCTGTTGATACTTTCAGGTAAACAACTTAATGCGGCGTATCTACCTGCTGGAGATGCAGAGCAGTTCAGAAGCACAGGATTAGCCAGCCAGCTCCCCTTTTGCAGCAAGTGCTTTCTCTTCCCATCACAGAAAAACCTCAAAACATAATATACAAATATTCCCTTGGCTTGGGGCTGCACTGGCCCAGGGAACAACCTTCTCCCAGGCAGTCTCTACCTTCTCAAGCCAGGAGCAACTGCTCCTATGGCTCTGCCCTGGAGCACCTGAGTTGCTATTAACTCCTTGTTTGCCAGGGACAGGACAGAGAGCTCTGCATAGTGCACAATAATGTCAAATTTTCATTTTCTAAAAGCAAGTAGTGAGGGGAAAACCTCAGGGAAGTTCGGTAGCATAGGAAGGGGATTCTGTAGTCAATGCGACGTGCTTTTAGTACATTTACCAGGAAGTGACTTTAATGTGCTGTTTTTGGACATTTTTTCCCCAGTTCATGCCATTAAGGTTAATGATGACTCCCATGAGACGGGAGCTTGGTCTGGCCTGGAGAGTGTGTGTTCAGTAAGTGACAGAAGAGTAGCCTCTCTCTGTATCTCATGCCCAGGAGACATGGTCTGGCCAGCCAGATGGAGATTCCTTTTGACAGTATGCCAGCGGAGATGCAAGCAATGGCGCATCTTGTTCTGCATCTCTCACGGGGCTGGACACGTGGCTTGTCATTTGTCCAATATCCACCAGGACAAACTGTCCTTAAACCCTCAATCTGTTTTCAACAAAGAGACATGGAAAAACCTTCATGTATGTTTCCTTTTTAGTTTTGTGACAGTTATTTTTCCCTCCTCCGTACTGTGTGATCTCTGTGCTCTTCTGACATACTATCCTTTTTCTGCCTTTTCTTGATCACTCTTTGCCCTTCTTCCCACAGATTCCCATCTCCTTCTGGCTCTTTTTGAGCTAGGACAGCACTGTACCTGCTTTGTGCTACTGACATGAGTCTAAAATTCATCAAAGCAATTACTAGGATAAGAAATGTTCCTGTACCCTCACCTCATTCAGCGTCAACAGGGCAGTATTTAGACCCCTAAGTGTCTAAATTCCTTTTGAAAAATGAAACATAGGCATTGCAGTGCTAAGTGCAGAAACACCTGAATATCTTTAAAAATCTCAACCTATGCCTTTGTTTCCTAGGTTAAGTGCCAATCACATCTATGGCATGAAATACAAACATTACATAAATAATCATTAATCTTCGCGTTCCAGCATTGGCTAGACTCCTGGCGATTAGACTGTCTGCCTGAATGATTTAAGCCTTTAGTCTTGGATCTTCTCAAGATGTTGAGGCCTTCCTTAGTTGCCACTCATCATTCACTAGCCTGCAGAGCTCCTTCCTTT